ATGATTCTATGATTCTATGATTCTAAGCTGCTCTTGAGAAGGGTAGTAATTCCCAAATCTCAAACATTACTAAAACCCACTGATATTTATGCTTTATTAACTTTTCTTTGTAAAAAATATAATGCAGTAAAAAAATCAGAAAATCATAGTAATGAAAGACTAATGGGGAAAGGATAATTATGACGTAGATCACTTGACCAAGAAGCCTCTACAGGTTCGATAATCACAAAATCATTTAACCTTTTAAGACTCTTCCAGTCTTAACCTTTTAAGATTGCTTAAAAATTGCTTGGTTCAAACACCAACAGTGAACATTATCTGAATTTTAGAATAAGTCCCCAAGTTCTTCTGTACATGAGAACATATTCACCAGAAGGTGGTTCAATATGCCTTAAAGACAGAAAGGCAAAAAGTAGAAACACCCAGTACTAAAGCACTGGAGACACCAACAGAAGCTTACAGACCCCTGGGCTCCCTGCTCAGAGACAGACAAAAACATTAAGAGGGCAAACTACCTGGTGATAATTCCTCCTCTCTCTCTCTTCACAGACAGTAAGGATAACAATTACAGGAACACCTACAGTCGTATTTAGTTTCAGATGAATAATGTGCTTTGATGCAAGTCTCTGATTGTTCCCACTTAAAATGCTTTGGTTTGTATCATGGAATAGCCTCAGACTACATAAGCTGGATTCCTTTCTGATTAAGCTCGACAATGGACTCCAAGAGCACACCTGAAGTGCTACTCTGAAGTAAAACAAAATTACTGTAATGTGAACACTGGGTCCCCCACACTATTAACTGAAGATATCCACTCCTGTTGGTGTGATGTGACTTGCCAAGGCAGACAAAGCTTACAGAATCTGGTGAGCAGACCTGCTGGTATAACTAGTATGGGTGTAGCAATATCTATAATTCACACTACAGTAACTGTAGCATTTTTTTTTATAGTATAAGCAGCATCGGTTACCTAGATCCTTATAGGAAGCAGAACTTTGAATTTCCTGAGACTTTAAAATCTCAAGATATAGTTTACAGTGACAATTTCAGACACTTAAAAGGGTTAAAAAATAAAAAAGGATTTATAGATTGTGGATCCAGACAGGACAGACCATCTACTCTTACCTTATACACCACAAAAGCCATGGAATGTCACCAGTTATGTGATGCAGATAGCAGATATGCATGGATTTATATTTAATATTTCATAGTATGATACTGCAACAACATAAGGTAGCACACTACACACCTGCAACACAGCTTTTGTCTTATGTTAGTCTCATTATTTGTGGGGGTTTTTTTCGCTTTTTAATACTGCTCCTTACTACATTTTAAAAAGAAACTAGTTTTACATCATCTGTTAACGTCCCTCAAAAAAATACTAATTATTTTTTTATTCTTGAAAATTTTCGGTCCAAACATTGTAACTTTACAAAACCACTCTAAATTAATGACAAAATTATTCATATCAAACCAGCACACAGCTATTTCTATTAGAAATAAAATAAAACCACTATCTTATTTTAATCTGAGAGCTCATGATGAATTATTTTTCTAATGGATTTTTGTAAACGTGTCTGAATTAAAAAGTTCACTCACCCATGTTTCCACACAAACTAGCAGAAAACTATTACATTACATGTTACATTATTTACAGGTGTATAGCCTATAGGTGGAGGGTGATAGTACATGGGCGAAGAGTCTCCCTTTGCATCACATCATGTAGCCAAGACAGCACCATGGCATACAGCTGCAGCTAGAGAAAAGATGCACTTCAGCTACTGCAGAGCATCCGAGAGGTTTTGCTTGTCTTATTAAGAAAAGCAGCAACTGCAGCCATCATTTGGGGTCAAGGAGCCAGAGGAAAGCATGAATGATTGGCTGCACCTGAAGCAGGAGAGTAGGGAAACAAGATACCAGAATTTTATTAGCGGGCATGTATAAAACTGAGACTGAATATCAACTGGGACTTCACAGTACCTTCATCTTTAAACTATGGTGAGCTGTGCTGTAGCAGTACAGTACCCAGAATGTAGTATGTGCAGTTATGTCAACATAATTATTCTATTGCATAAAGCCACCACGTAAATATAGTACATAACACAAAAGGCTTTGAGCTAGGCAGGTCTTCCACAAGCCCAGCAACAAAACCACACAGGAAGCATTTGTGAAAATCAACAAAGTAGAGGGAATACTGGAGATAAGTAACAACCACCTTTTTCGTTGCCTACTTTCAGGTTACATAAGGATATTCAGCTACCTTGATATTTCTGTACTTTCATTATCTCATACACAATTCAGAGGATGTGGTTTACAAGTTTAGCATATTACTCTTGTTTGTTTTCCTACCAGTGCTATCTCTCCTAATCCAAGCTGGGCACGTCCCAATGTCTGCCAGGCATCCCAGGAACGTGGGTTTCTCTGGACAGCCATTTCTGCTGCATGCACTGCTGGGAACATTTCATGTAAAGACATCAGGACCTAGGACAAGAAAAGAAAAATAAAAGGAATAAGCAACATTGAAAACAGATTTAAATTTTCTGGGATTACAGAAGCAACCACTGTTGTTTCAATAACTAAGGACAGGTTCACCTTACCGAGCTTTTTCTAGTTTAAAAGTTAGTTGTCTAATCTCAGATAGTCACCCAGACTCATTCCATAGCTCACAGAGAGAAACAGGCATGCTAGAGGATGATTCATCTGGACTTTTTAAGCAACTCTATTAGAAGTAGATTAATTGCATCTGAAGGTGTTCCTCCCTCTCCCTTCCTCCCTACAAACTCCACACTGTACCAGCGTAACAGAACAGACTGCAGGACAAACATTTTGAGAATTAAACACAATAAATAATGAAGTATTGTTGAAAACTCCTGGGTTGTATTTTTTCTTTTTAAGAGAAGACTGGAATCTACCAAATACAGTTGCAGTGTACATGATACAATTATACAAACAATCCCTGTAATTCAGCATGGAAACATCCCTTAACAATGACTGTTGTATTTGGACATAAGCATTCTGCAATAGCAAAGCCTAACTTAGACATGAAGTCACCTACGTTAAAAAAAAAAGCCATTTCCAAATGTGGAAATCTCTTTTACTCAGCAGTACAGGTTAGTGTCAGTCTGTTACCATAGTATTCCACTCTTTGCATTCAATCTCCATAACTAAGTCTATAAATCATAGTTAACAATACATAATATGGCTCAAAGCTTGCCTTCTTTTTCCAAGACCACCATGAGATTGGCACATTACCTGAAGACCTGCATCACTCTGAGATCACAATTTCAGACACCCACATGCTATGGTGATAGATACCAGTATAAGAAACAAACGACAACTGCATTCCTACAGTATGATGAGAATGTTAACCACAAGAGTAAGACTCATGTGTGGGCAACCACTTTCATCCCAACTGACCCACAAGTATGATGAATAATATTAGAATATATTAGGACTGCTGCTGAAGTGCAAAAAGCATTTATTTAACCTTAGTGTTTTATGATATATTAAACAGATAAATATGAATGTGGAGTAGAGGAGGATTCAAATGCCATGATCTTGGGTATTTACTTTAAATAACATAAACTACTTGCCCAGCACTGGGGTGAGTACAGTAAAAAAAAATAAAATAGTTTTACTACAGAAAGTAGTCCTGTACCCAGGAAAGACAGGAAGCATAGCTTCTGATAAATGCTTTGGATCCACACTCCTGCTGCTTTAGTAAGACTAAATTTTCTGAAGGCTAGTCCTATGGCTTCTCTTTAATTCCCTTCAATAGGTTGTAAACTGGAATTTAGAAGTACCTAAAAATCTTTAAAAAATAACTCACAACTATATGTCATGTCATTTTTCCTCAGCAGTTCTCTATGACTGCTTTGTAAGCAAAGTTTGTAATGAATACTATGTCTTTTTCAAAAACTTTCACTTCAACTGCATTTTTGTGTGCAGTTTCTTTTATCTGCAGCAGGTCTGCAAATTGAATCAAACTGTTACCCGCGGGATAGGTGTACATCCTACCAAGACTAAGCGATTCTGCATCTATCAGCTAGCTTTTACGTTAACGTCATAGAATTATTTAGGTTGGAAAGGACCTTTGAGATCATTGAGTCCAACCATAAACCTAGCATGGCCAAGGCCACCACTAAACCATGTCCCTAAGCACCACGTCTACAGGCCTTTTAAATGTCTCCAGGGATGGGGACTCCAACGCTTCCCTGGGCAGTCTGTTCCAATGCTTGACAACATTTTCAGTGAAGAAATTCTTCCTAATATCCAATCTAAACCTCTCCTGGCACAACGTGAAGCCATTTCCTCTTGTCCTATCACTTGTTACTTGGGAGGGGACACCGGCAATGTCTTAATGTGCTTAATCTCATAAGAGAAAACAAATCCAAGTATACACTTACCTAAACATTTTTATACATCCTGAGTATTCAGTATTTCCTACCAGTACTTTCTACTGCAACACAATGCCAAAACATCTACGTAAGTATTTAGGAAACCTTTTGTAGTTTTTAATTAATTTTACTGCTTTGTTTACTGAATTGTGACCTCACTAATAAAAGACAATTATTCCACTTTCATCTGTTTATGACTGTTGTGTGTATTAATTTAGACAGCTGCTTTAAAAATGCTCCTCCAGATCATAGTAGTAATTAGTGTACTCCTAGTAACTATGGCATCGGTTTCTCAAGGTACATTCAAACAAATACAAATTTGAATGTATATGCATTTTGTCCAGCAAAGGTGTTTTTTTCAGTTATTAATAAAATGACTCAGCTATACTTGTCCATCATTATAAAAGAATAAACTTAGTAATGCACAATAGTTTCCTATGCTTTTGTTTTCAGGTGAAGACATCATCAAAATGAACATATGATGGCAGATCTGAATGTCTGCAGCCTTGTCTTAGCTTATCCTACATGTAGTATTATTATCACTTTAATAAAATACCTCTGCATGCTAAATAGCACTGCTACTTGAAAACTGAACCAGCAAACACTCAGTTACTCTACATCTGGAAAGTCATGCTGAAAAAGGAATAAAAAACACTGCTAGCATAAAGTTTTCTTCTGCACAGATTTGACAAGAAGTGCTCAGTCCTTTTACTGGGGCAGGCCACATGGCCAAGACAAAGCCAGACAGGAACCATGTGTGCTGTAGCCCCCTTTGTCGTACAATGTGCCCATCACAGGCTCAACATGCAGCCACATCAAGCACCAAATCTATGTGTATATACATCATTCCCCAATAACACACAGTCCAGCATGGTCCCCATTTCACTGATACGGTAAAGGTACCTAAAGAGTTATTGTCACCCCTTACACATGTGCCCCTTAGACAGGGGGAAGCCAGGTAGTAGATCATGGGAATTGTACTGGTGGCCTTCATCAAAATACGGATTTCTCATCCTGAGCTAGCTTAACATACCAGTCTAACAAAAACCCACAATCATAATTCCATAGACAGCATTTTGTGCACAATGTATACTTCAGTATTTATACATACTTGAATAATATAACATAATAATCTTGAGTTCTGCATGACTATACAAGATATGAGGCTTATTTTCAAGGATGCAGCTACTTTGAAATGCATTTCAGATCATCTTGCCATAACCCATCACTAGTTTAAACGTATCGAGAACTGAACTCCTTGCCTCCTTCCCAAATCATCTTTCTTTTATCTGTACTGTTGTCATTATCATAACAGTATTGTTTTGAATTTTCTCTTCCTTCACATAAATTTAGTCTACATTTATGCCTTGTATAAGAGCAAGGTTATTTTGCTGTCTGCAAAACTCTTAATTATCTTGATTATATTCTCTTTATTGTTGGTCTCCTTGATCCCTACATATCACACCATAATGAACCAAAGTCCACTTGACTTAATAAAAGATTAGATACTCAACGAATGTCTTGTTCAAAGTTTTGCTCTGACTTTCCATTCTATATAACTTGACTTTCTCATCTTGTTTTAAGAATCTGTATTATTTGTTTCTCTTTACTTAACTCTTTTTGAATAAGTTACTCTTATTTTATTTGCTCCAACATGGTATACATAGTGGTGTATTTTTTCTGCATCTTACAAAGATGCAGCCAGGTCTTCTTTCATTTCAGCCCATATGCTTGAAATACCTGATCTGATCAGAAAAGTGTTATCTTGTCATTCAGATGTGTGACTGAAACATGAATCTGGAAGCCAGTAGCAGTCCCTACACCCAATTTGAGCAGAATGCTTGCTGCTACTCTTACCTTTGCTCAATTTTATCTCATTGTCACAGTCATTTATTTTCTTTGTAAGTTTGTCTACACTTACACATTTGACTTCAGTAACTGTTTATAAATAGTTATTCTGTTGAAAATAGAATAAATAGAACACACCTCCAAGGGCTCCCTCCAAAATAACCCTGTTCTTTGATTTGGTGGAATTCCTTTCAAAAGAGTGAAGTCCTCTGTGTGGGCAGTGTTTCTTCGTGGGAGCTCTACTGTACTTAATACAACAAACTCTTCACCCTCTTTTAATCCTTTATGGACAACTTCAATACAATTGACTGTAAACTGCAAGGCATCATTAGCATCAATCCAGAACTGCACACAATTACATTACTTCATCAGCAGCTTAGTGCAACCTCTTTTAATTCAAGTTACATTTTACACCGACTTCAATGTGGTTTTGGTGGGTTTTTTTTGACAGCAGAGGCAATTGTCACCCTCTGCCTGTTACTTCCTGCAAAACATTCAGATTACTAGTTAAAACAGCAACATGCAAGAATTACTCTAAATAGGTCACAAACCATTATAATAGAATACTCAGATGTAACATTTCTTTTTTAAAACAGATGTTTACTTTTTAGAGAAACTAATTCAGTTGCATTAGGTATTTTTCAAAGACCAGACAAATAGCAGGATGCCTCCCTGGGGAACTGTGTATCACTGAAAACTCCATTTAAATCTCCTTTCCTCAATGTTTTAGCATCAACTTAATCTTTAGATGGCCATGCCTTCAGAAAAATGCACAAATAACCTTGTCATTGAGAGTATGAGGATATTAAGCTTTTACTTATCAAAATTATGCTGGGGAAAGCCTTCGTAAAGAGACAATCCTACCAGCAAAACAGGTATTTAATCTATTTTGAAGAAGCTACGACAGAAAAGGGCTATTTTGCCAGAATCTTCACCTAAGGTAAAGATGAGGATGTGTGTGTTTGTTTATGACCACCCTTTTAAGAGCTGACACACTAAGATTCTATTATTTTCCTGTTGCTCTCAAATTAATTTCTCAGATGAATATTCTTTTGCAAACTTCATTAGTAGGATGGCACTCAAGTTTCACAGTTAAGTAATCTCATTGAATATTTGATTTATTTTCCAATTATAGTGGTAACAGTCCATTAGGAAATGTTTTTAAAACTAATCAAGCAATGGAAAAAATAATCTTAAAAAGCAGAAAACGTCTCAAGACTTTCATGCACATGTCTA